CATAACGCCACAAAAAATCGAAATTCGGTTATACGTAACCCGCGAAAATTCTAAATTCGCGATACTTTTTGAACACACTTCGTATTCTAATCTTAAAATCCAAAAATTTTAGCTCGTTTAATATAATATTTAAGAAATAACCTCTTATAATTAATATCAAATATTTGATATAGTCCAAAGGATTGTTATTTCATTTAAAAAATAATTTCGTCATAAGTATACTCCTGTGAAATTTTATAAATAAATACAAATCTAAACATATAATATCTATACTATTGGGTTGCCCAAAAAGTAATTGCGGATTTTTCATATAGTCGGCGTTGACAAATTTTTTCAAAGGCTTGTGACTCTGTAATTGCTTTCTTTCTTCTGTCAGTTATCAGCTGTTACTTTTAGCTTGCTCTAGAAAAAAAGTGCGCGAAATTTTGTTTACATTTGTTTGTTTGGCGTCAATTTTAATATGGAGCCCACAAAGGAGCATTTTCGTCATATTTTACTTTATTATTTCCGTAAAGGAAAAAACGCGGAGCAGGTTGCTAAAAAGTTACGAGATGTGTATGGTGATGAAGCCTTAAAAGGAAGACAGTGTCAAAATAGGTTTCGTAAATTCCGTTCTGGAGATTTTTCACTTAAAGATGAGCCACGTTCAGGTCGGCCAAATGAAGTTGATGATGACCAAATCAAAGCATTAATCGAATTGGATCGTCATGTAACTGAGCGTGAGATAGGAGAGAAGTTAAGCATTCCAAAATCAACCGTTCATAATCACATAAAAGGTCTTGGACTGGTGAAAAAGCTTGATATTTGGGTACCACATGTATTGATAGAAATTCATTTAACACACCGAATCAACGCTTGTGATATGCTCCTTAAACGCAATGAATTCGATCCGTTTTTAAAACGAATCATAACTGGAGATGAAAAATGAACAACGTTAGTCGAAAACGATCATGGTCCAAGCATGGTGAACCAGCTCAAGCCAATTCAAAGGCTGATATCCACCAAAAGAAGGTTATGCTGTCTGTTTGGTGGGATTGGAAGGGTGTCGTATATTTTGAGCTGCTTCCAAGGAACCAAACGATTAATTCGGATGTTTACTGTCAACAGTTGGACAAATTGAATACAGCCATCAAGGAGAAGCGACCAGAATTGGTCAATCGTAAAGGTTTCATATTCCACCAGAACAACGCTAGACCGCACACAACTTTGGTCACTCGCCAAAAACTTATTGAGCTTGGCTGGGAACTTTTGATGCATCCACCATATAGCCTTGACCTTGCACCATCAGACTACCATTTATTTCGATCTTTGCAGAACTCCTTAAATGGTAAAACTTTCGGCAATGATGAGGCTATAAAATCGCACTTGGTTCAGTTTTTTGCATATATATTCGATTAAAGTTCATTCTAAGTTTTATTAAAAATGCATTTACTTTCTTTTAAAAAATCCGCAATTACTTTTTGGGCAACCCAATATTTCATATGGAAACAAACAAAGATCATCTGCGAAGTTGGAGAACTTTATATTACTTCTCTTCTAACCCATTTTTAAATATTAGAATTAGTATTTAATACTAAAATAAAATATAATTATGATTTGGGCTGCCAAGTCCTTTAAACAAATTTTGCGTTTTATCCATAATTTAGTAAAAATACCAAATACGACTGCCGGATGAAAAAAATAACAGAATACCATATTCGTTATCCAGGGCATTTTATCCAGACAGCAAAATGTATTCTATAAAAGTCTCCTCAGGTATTTTGCTATGCAACCGTAAAATTTGATGGCACACTTTAAGAATCCCAGTGGTTCAGAATCATTGATATAGATCATAATTCTTTGTTTATAGAATTTAATTAAACGACGAGGTTTTATTTTGGTGGGCTTTACTCTTAATTTACCACGGGTTGTATCGTGCTACAGTCTTCTTTGAGGGGTTAGTACAGAAAATTCATTTTTTTATCAAATTTTGTATAAAATACAAAGTGTCAGGAATATTTTCACCAAGTTGAAGACGATCGAGACGTCTTTGTCATGGATTGACCGATGGCGACACTTTAAACGCGTTTTTCTTAAAACCACTTTATCGAAATCGGTAGTCAAAATTTCTCAACGACTATTGAGGCGATCGAGTTCAAATTATCCATACTTCTTTTAAGCAGGTTTTTGTAGAGCCTGAACGAAGGATTTATTTTATCTTGGATTTCAACTCATTTGACAAGCCAATATATAGCCTATATTTATGGAAAAATGACGTTTTTTTGTATAAAAACGCAACGAAAAGTTTTGTTTTTTGATTTCAAATAAAAATTGAAAGAGTTATCATGACTACGAAAGTACTTTATTGTGGACGGTCTACTTTACGAAACTGCTAACGCCTTAACTTATACTATTTTTCATTTAAATGTTCGTCAAATGTTGTAAACATATTGCACTCTTCTATGTAAACAAAATAAATTGTATACTTTATATGGTATCTTTTAAAAAAATTATAGAAAATAAGATTTTTTTCCCCTTCAAGACCTATGTAACCCCTTAAATGATACGCTACAATTGTTTCGTTTGCTTTAGTAAAATTTTCGGTTATTCATTTTCAGGGGTTTTGAAATACTCAGGAAAATTTTCTTATTAGATAAGTTAATTTCTTTCCATGTGTTGTATACTAATATTTATCAAATGAGTTCATTCATTCCTTCTAATACTATACATGTGTATGACACTTTGAAATCATCTCCACCAGGATATTTAAAGCCTTCATACTCATAGATTCCCACTTAAGATCATGATCTGCAGAGGAATTTTGATTTATCACGGCATCTGTTATGGGGACTACGTGATGTGCATGAAAATAATGATTATCGTTCTTTCGGTTCTTGTATATGTATGTATGCAAGAATGTTAATAGTGAAAATTCGAACATTATGGTGCCCTTAAAAAATAATTTGATTGCGTTTGTAAATCAGCCTATTAACCTTGTGAGATGCATTTCAATACAATATTTAGTTCCAATGTTTATTTTAATTTTTTTAACCTGCATTAAATAAAACCGATCCCCACATATACATTACTGTTGTAGGGCAAAATTTTAAAATAAATAACCGCCGGCCTATTGTGTAACATATATTTACGTATGCATCTGATCCAAGATATTCGAATATGTAGATATAAAATGTAGCTAAGGGACTAGAATTGCGTATTATCATTCGCAAGGCCCTGGTTCGTGTCCGGGTTAGATCAACGTCCAAAATAATCAAAAATTAACTTTTCTAATTGCGGTCGTCCCTCGACACTAACGGCAATCCTTCGAGCGTACGTCTGATAGGAAAATCAAGGCCCGGAGTCGGCCCAGGAAAACTTCTAGATCTCTCCATATTTAAGAAAAACATAAAGGCGCACAGCAAAAATTAAAAGAAGGAAGCGGTCAAAAATCGCTTCAGTGATTACATAGCAAATATTATACTCGTATATAAATAGATGTTGAATTTGGTAAATTAACAATTATTTTAGCGAAAAGCGAGAAATAAGGTTAAACCAATGCTGTCAGTCTTAAATTGTTCGAGATCCCTATTTCTCCTCCTGAAAACTTTTTCGGCATGGTTAGAACCATGTGTAATGATGAGATATCTTAGGGCTTAACTACTGCCAAAAATTTAGACATTACAAATAACGGGTGCCAACGGTATCAGAAAATTCATCTTTTTAAGTTTAGATCTTAGCCATAGACAAATTTGAAGGGAAAAAGTCGACCTTATGCTCAAATTGGAGTGGGCACCATAATGTATGCGCAGGAAATATAGTCAAAACGAATTACTGAGAGCATTTAATCAGGCCTCACATACGAGTATTTGTGTAATACGCCTAAATGCATACTTGAATTCGCCGTAAAAGAAAGTGTTTAATATTGTGTCTATCATTTTCTTGATATTCATCAAGTTATTCTCGTTAAATCATTTGCATTTTCATTATGTAGATAGTCCAGATAACTGTTAATATTGAAATCACACAAATCATTGAATTACATATGTACGTATGTAAGTATGTAAGTATGTGCTACACATTTCGGTGCGTTAAAGGTAAATGACAATAAAATTCTATGTTTGTATTTACTTAAACAGAAACAATCTTTTTAGATGCCTACAAAAGCAATTCTGTATGTAATAATGTTAATAATAATAGATAGTTTGGCATCTAAGAGGCACTTAATTACTTTATGTAATTTATAACTGACCTATCTATCGTTGACCATTTTGTAATAATGTCCTTGACATCCTCGTGCCTACGATACTTCTACAAGGAGATTAAGGTTAATCGAGTTCAGCAATATTTTGAGTTGTGAATTTTATTTAAACTACGCTCTTCAACCCTTCACACTTAGCGAAACCAAATTATTGAACTTCTTATATATTGACTAAAATTTCACTGTTCTAATGCAGGTTATGTGAACTAAATTAAAAAATCGTATTTATCTTTAAATTTTAATATTAAATTGGAATATAACAAACAAAGGACTAAAAAAGTAGCAAGATTTTATATCGAGGCTCTTCTAAGTTTCGCAAAAGCGTTGGCGTTGCATGCGACGACTATTTTAGCTCGAACTAAACAACTATCGCTGCAAAGGACCATCCATGTAAGGCATAACAGACAGTCCGACATAACGAAGGGAACTTAATGAGATTTGGATAGGATAGAATTATTTATTATAATTAATTTCAGTATTTGTTTTTAATACCAGGAATTTTTAAAATATTGCGAAAATAAAGAAGTTCCCTCATTTACATATATAAATATCAAGGAAATTTCTTTGTGGGCTCATATCAGTCCTTTTTGCTGGTTGTCAACATTTAGCTTAGACATTTAACCAAGACCTCCTCATCTATTGTTTATTGACATTTATGCAAAAAGTTACACTCTTGCCTTAAAAAATTTTAATAATCAATGTTCTTGCAAGAATACTTACCAACTTGGTTGAATGAATGAATACTGACTCAAGTGACGTGCATGTGTGCCGGTATTTAGCATTTTAGTTGCCGCCTTATTCTCAAGAGGCCACTGGATAAATCAGGAACTTTCTTCATGTACAAGAAAGCGAAACTATAGTGTAGTGTGACACGAAAAGACAACGAAAACTTGCAAGCCTGAACAAAAACAACAACAAAAAGCAAAGGAATTTTACGCCTAATGCAGGCCCTTTTCTTCAGATTTTATTGACGCATATGTACATACATTTGTTATTATAGAAAAAATGTATTTCTAACGGTTTTATCGTCCAGGTGCCTTAGTGAATCTCGGTTTTTCGATAATACATAGTCCCACGATAGCAATTTTTAGCGTTTACTGAAAAGAAAAAGCAGAATTTGGTATTGTAGTATAGACGTAACTGAAAACTTTGTTGATTTGATTAATTATAAAAATAATCTCCCACAAACACATCTCTTTTAAAACCAAGATTTAAAAAAGAATAAATAAAATGTCATGGACCAAATGCTTTTCCGCGGCAGTGACTGTTATTTCGGAGATCATAACAACTCTTTATCAGACTGAAAGGAATGGAAACACATATGCTGTCTTAAGAGGACAGTGTTCTATCCATCGCCTTAACTTCAGCAAGGTGTTTGATTGTTAATCTAGAATAACAAAGTGCGATTAATCCAGCTGTTGATATAATTTAAGAATCTAGTTGTGTATTTTAAGAATTATACAAATTTTTGATTTGTACTGGCTCTGAGCTCATTGACTTATAACTATAAGGACTACTTCTCCTGCCATTTTTCAGTAAGCGATTAACTTTAATTTGCGTTCAACTGAGATTTGTCAGTTAACATACAAGTACAGGTAATGGAAGTTTTTTGCCAAACTCTAAATTCCGAAATAAATAAAAAAAATAAAAAATTTATCAAAACAAGGAGCTAATTAGGAAATGTAAAAAAGAGCTGAAAAAGCGAGCAATCTTCTACCTTGGAACCGATTGTAGCGGCTCTCCGGTCTATAACAAGGTAAAGGACAACACGAGTGGTTCTACTTTTACAGAATCATCTTTATTATTTAAATCTTCTACTGGTAGCGTTTGCACAACACACCCTATACCCTATCTACGACAGCATAAACAGAAGTGTCTTATTACTTTTCATACCCAATTCTGTTTAAAGCATTTACGGAATACCCGAGCAATGCATTCCGTTGCCCTAATATTTCTTAGTGGAGAAACCGTTTTGGGGAACACCTCCTTTTGGAGACTTAAACCACCGGGTAGGCACTCACCAAATGCCACCGTGCCATCAATCAATGTATTCAAATACTGCAACTATTTGCCGACAGATGTCACTGCCAACGCTCAAAATGGAAGGAAGCTTGGGAAAAACAAAGAAAATATATAGAAAAACACAAAAGAAGTTTTTGTTGCGGCCAGTACGCGATAGTATTTACATATATGTGTACATGTATATTGGCTTGGGGTCATCACACGGTATTTACACCAACAACATTATCAACCTGGAAATCCAGCGCAGAATCACTCTTGCCAACAGGTGCTCTTTAGACTGAGTGGCAATTGAATTTCGATGAACGAAAACCAAATTCTACAAGTCCCTCATCATTCCCGTCCTACTATATGGTGGAGAGGTGTGGATGAAGACAAAATCTGATGATTCTGCGTCCGAAGCTTTCGAAGGAAAGGTTTCGCTTAAGATTTACGCTCCTCTACGAGTTGGTAACTTCGAATACCGCAGCCGATGGAATGATGTGCTGTACGAGTTATGCGGCGACATTGGTCATGTTCTGGATGGGTAAGAATACTTTAATTTTAAAAGTTTTCGATGCAAAACCCGCCGGTGGAAGCAGAGGAAAAGGAAAACCCCTACACCATTGGAGAGACCAGGTAGAGAGGAACCTTGCCGTACTTGATATCTCCAAATAGCGAAAAGACGAAACCAATGACTCAATGTTTTTAACACGTCTATAATCGAGTAAGCGGTATCTACGCCAGTAAAGCAAGTAAGTAATATGATATTTATAAAAAAATTTTATATTAAAACGTAAAAAGAAAAAGTTAAACAAGAAAGAATGATATGCGAAATTTCCCTGCAATAAAATATAAATATAAAATATAGCACAGCATACGAACTAGCGCTCACCAGCAGACGATAAATATTTAGACACCTAAAGCGCTGGCTTACTTGGTAAGCGTAGTAGGTAAGGTGGGGCTTTGTAACCATTGAAGTGGTTTTCGGCTGAGCTCCCCCTCCAATTTGTGGTTTTTCGTCTTGATGTTTTTCCAACAAATGGAGAGACCTACAGTTTATTTAAATAAACATAAGAACGGTCGATAGATTTTTAAGAAGACCTTTTATTTGATGTCAAAAGTGTACTCGGAGGGGTTGCCATTCCCTGCTAAGGGGAAACCGCTTCGGCAGACACCGAAATAACTAAAAGAAAACACACACTCCTTTTTCTCCAAAATGGCTTCCAATGTCGAACCTTTTGATCCAGTATAGTGTTGAATAAATGTGCAATAACCATTTAACCCGCGGACGTGCATCGCTCATTTCCATTTACAAATTTACATACAATATTTACATATATAAAAAATACATACACTATACACATAAATAGCCCTGTAACCATACTGGTGGCTATTTGCTTATATATACGTACTACTATATGCTGCTGCTGAATATACTTCGATATCGTCACGCCTCAATAATCATCGATCGTAAGCGCTGCGGTTGCCACATCTTCTTTGCGCACAAACTTCCCCTCGCCTCCATATTTTCCTTTCACGGATGTAACCAATCAATAATGGCATAAATGGTAATTAATGCGCCAAAGTGAATGGCAAAGATAGAACCTGGAACAAAACTTGACTGCAAAATCCACATACATCCATATTGGGGTATCCCAAAGCCATACATATGAATATGTTGTTGTTCAAAGTAATGATCCAAATAACCGTACTCCGGCAGGCCGATTAGATTTTTACATACATATGCATATATATTTATATGCATATATATATATACTAATACGTATTTGTAAACGTGTGTATTTCCATTTATGGAGATGAAATTAAATTAAAATCCATAATCATAATTAGTACAAATAAGGAGCAAGGAAAATGTGTTATGGGTTAACCAATGTTAATCAATGTTGTGGGGCATTCCGATTAGAATCAAATTCTAAGCAGGCAGGGAATGTATAACTCAAACCAACACACCAGTCTATGAGTATAATAATACCTAATTCGCAATAATCACATCATTATATCATGTATCCCAATTTTGCCTAAAAGTACCAAAAACTAAAAATATATAAACTAATAATATATAAACTTTTTAAAAAATTTTAAGCTTTTATTTATTTGTTAAAAAAGTTTGATAGAGTCCATTGAAGAATACGTTAGCAAGGAACTTAGAAATATGACGGACAAATTGGTAGTGGCGGAAATTTCGATAAACTAAAAGGAGATCTGCAAAAGATGCTCAAATTAGGATGGCCTCCGTTTAATTTGTATTTTCAATCAGTATCAGATCGCAGATATATACATATATGCCAAGTGCACACAATTTTGCTAAGATTTATTACCTCTATTCATGTAAAACTGCTATGAGCACTGCTGAGAGATTCTTTCGCTTAGGTAACCAATATTTTTTTTGACGACATAAATTTAATCTAATCCAAATTATTATCCTTAGTGCAACTCCAGTAACACTATGTACCCATTTTTTGGAGCTTATGAATATATTATTTATGAACTGCCCTTTTCTTTCCTATCTTATCTTTTCTTGTTTTGCAGAGCATCTCAGTTCGGTATTTCAACCCAACACTGATACAAATAGTGCACCTTTGTCACCTAATCACACTGCTCCAAGATACACTGTTACATGTGGAACATCTGTGTCTGAATTAAAAAAAATTATTACCGCCTTAAATAAAAAAATCCTCAGTCAACGATCACATCTCACCAAGAATGATATAAGAAATCCCAAGCACTCCTCTCGTTTTTCTTGCAAAGCTTTTCAGTGCCATACTAAATTGAAATATTATATACAAATATAGAAACAGTAGCAAATAATTATGATAGCTAAACCAACCCTGCTGGCAACCTGTTGCCTTGCATTTAAAAACTTTTCGGAAAAGTGCTGCTATGAAAAATTACTCCTTTTCTTCAGCAAAATGATAATATTCCTACACATTAATTTGGTTTTCGGTAACAATTGAACATTTAAATCGTATAACAAATGAAATAAAAAAGCTTTCCAATTAAGAGGATTGCTCGATCGTTTTTCTTCATCTGGCGCAGGCATTGGACAAAGTGTGGCATGATGGTCTCATTTATAAAATTAAAAATCATTACCTAACACATTTCACAATATCCTTGAATCCTACTTATCCTGAATAACCTGCTTCGTTGTAAAAGTGAATGATTACATAACAGAAGAGTATCACAGCAAGTGTTCCGCAGGGTAGTGTTCTTCGACCAATATTGTTCATGCTGTTAATCGCAGATATTCTATAAGTGACAAAGTAATGATATCAACTTCTGCGGATGATACTGCTATTCTAAGTCGACATAAATGAACCATTACTGCCACAGAAGTATTAGAGCACAATATTAAGCTAATGGAAGCATAGCCAGCAAAGTGGCACATAAATATTAACGAAAACAAGTGCAAGCACAAAACCTTTACATTAAGGCCAAAAATGGTCTCCATCGTCAAACTCAACAATATGCCTATCCCACATGCTAACGAAATCACATATCCTGGTATTTATTTGGATAGACGATTAACTCGGAGACGACACAGTTCCTCCAAAAAGATGAAGCTGAAGCTTAAATTAACCAGTTTATATTGGCTTTTAAGCAAGAAATCTGGGCACAGCCTTGAAAAGAGTCCTTCTTTACAATGCGACTATAAAACCGATATGGATGAATGGAGTCCAGTTTGGGATACAGATTGCGCTGTAAATCTAGATATAATACCAAGATTTCAGTTGAAAACATTGCGAATAATAACGGGACCACCATGGTACATGCGTAACGAAAATATCCATTAAGACCTAAATATCCGCATAATCAAAGAAGAGATTGAAATTGTTACACAAAAATATATAGCAAAAGTGCACAACCCTTTGGCTATCCCCTCAGCCTCCGCAACCGGTGAAACACGCCTGAAGAGAAGGGAAGGGCCTTTGTAAAGAGCAAGAGCCAGCATTCATAGCCAATGGGCTATTATTTTTTAATTTAGTTTTTAAGAATTGAAAACTTCTTGTGAGGATTCTGATATTGAAGCAGACTCAGTAAATAAATACAAATGTTTTAAAAAAAATATTTTTTTCAAAAATTACACTGGGTTTTGGTATCGGAAACTAACAAACGCTAACAATCTTTCTTAAATACTAACATGGAGGTGCTGAATACATACCCACTCCACCTCACATTCCAAAGAAGTTTGTAAAAATTATGTAATCAAAATCAGACAAATCAATTATAACTAATTTAGTATTTGCTTAGATTAACCATTCTATATTCTCTTATGGCACAATATAGACAAAGTGTCGTCTGTGTACATTGCAATTCGAAAGCCATGAATATATTCAGGTCTTGGGTATTGGCAGGAGCAAAAGCGAAACGACACATATATCGAAAACCTTTATTAGTGAAAGGCTAAAAGAAATAATTGATGCCGAATAAAGTTATTAACTTCACTGCCTTAAATATACATGGTTTTATTCAGTTTTGTTATGTATACGCCCCGCTACCATTGCGCCAAGAGAGTGGTTGAGTGGCTATAGAGATACTATGTCTCAAAATTAACGCAAGATTTTAATTCGCCGCCGGTTATCTAGTAGTAGTGTAAACACAACCAAAAAAACAACAAATCGACAGCTTACAGTTTAGGATT